CGCGATCTTCTCCTCTCAGTATTTAATTTAGAAATGCATGCAATAAGAAACTCAAATAAATAAATAAACTCCTCAACGCGGGTCACTACAGACAGACTCGTTGTTTCGTCGTCCTCAGCAGCTCATGGTAGCTGGTTACACAGCCTGGTGAATACGGCAGTTAATATGAATCTTTACGAGAATTATTTTGCATGCGCCATAATAATTAAGAATAGAAGAAAATAATAAGTTTAATGCATGCGTAATGCGAGAAAAATACAACACACACATGCATGGTGTTGGGGGGCAACGCGGGGCCGGAGAGCGCCGGCGTTCATATAGTATCTTCTCTGAAAGCATTGAATGGCTGATGATTTGTTATTTGTGTATATGCAAATATAAAGCGTAAAATAACATTAAATATTATTTAAAATTATTTTAATGGTAAATAAGAACTTAATTATCATCACTATCTAGAAAAAATAAGTTTTTATTAGGCCTCTTTACATGAAATTCATATTCTGTTTTCTGTACAACTTCGTTTCCCTTTGATCAGCACCATTCACAGCATCAGCATAAACACACACAAACACACAAACAGGCACCAAGAATACACACGATGGAGATATGTATGGGTGTGAGAGTGTACACAGTAAGCCTTGATATTCACAAGCAAAAGAGAAACACTATATATATATATAATATATATAGTGTATAATATAATATAATATCTTTGGGTAAGCGATCAATAGTTTATATGGAGGGGGCTGAGTGGGCTTCACTGAAACACCCACAGCAACATTTCTCTTATCTTTTGTATCCAAGCAAGCGTTCTATCAGCTCTTGAATATACTAATTCTGATACTATAATGTAATAGAGAGAAAAGAGGAATATGCTAGGTCTCTAGGTACTAAGCAGTATATACTGCTTTCCATGTGCCCCATACCGGCAACAAATATCTCTGAATATACCCACAAATTCAACTTTTTTGATTCGTCTTTTTCTATTGGATAGAAGCAAAGTGACGACGAACTTGAATTTGGTTGTACAGCCCCTTCGGTGCCTGAACGACAGGAAAGCTGAACTGCAGTATTCCTCTTCTGTGCATTCTATCCAACAAGCTCGCAGCTACACAAGCAGACGAGGGTTGCTGTGGTATTTTAATTGCTGCAGTTCCACACAAAGGCATCACACTGCAACCACCACTACTGCTGCTATGAGCCCAAAACCCTAAACCCTTAACCCTAGACTCTACGCCTTACATTCTACTAACCCTAAACCCTAAACCCTAAGCCCTAAACCCTAAATCCGTGAGACTGTTGTGCTGTGCTGTATTGCAGCGTTATAGGTTAAAAGAAACCTCATAGCTCCAATCCCTGCATATCTAACCCTACCCCCAGCTTTCTTGATAAAAGGACCTCACCCCCGTAGTAGGCACCC